CGCTGAACTGCAGATCACAGTCAGCTAAAGTGGCCTGCACTACTGCACCCTAACCACTGCGCCACCTCGGCTCTTAGATGATTTCTCTGCCTTTGTTTTCTCATGCCCTTGGACGGTGTTGTAATAGTAATTCAGATGAATCTTCAGTTTTATAACTCTAGGCCAGTGATGGTGAAACCTTTGGATTTGGCATGTCGAAAATTCAAAAAGTGCCTAACTGGATTCTGCTACACATACTCAAACAAAAGAGAAGCAATTCTTTATCTCTGCCACCCCCTTCATCACCATCTAGGTCACCTTGAACAGCAGCACCTGATGGCAATACCAAGGGTGAGTCTGAAGTAGAGGCCTGTGCCTCAGCTTCAGCCCTATTACTACCACTGCCATTCAGAAAGATCACCTCATGCCATTGCTCAACAGGGAAAAGCCTTGGAGAATGGTGTAATTGCCCTGCAGCCTAGTGGCCCCCAGGATCTGCCATGTTCTTTTACCTTCAGGCCCTGAGTCTTCCGAGAGTGGGCGGCATACAAAACTAATAAATAATAATAAAATAATAATAATAACTATTCTCTTTCAGTTGACAGAGCCCGTGGCCTACCTGAGATTGCTTTTGGTCATACAAGGCTTTTCTTCTTGCAGGACAAAATTCCTGCAGCACTCTTGCAGAATGCTCTTCTGTGGCCTCTGACCTCCAAAAAAACCACATGAAAGCACTCCCTGTTCTTTCATGGTTTTTGGAGACTCGAGTGGCCACACAACAGCACACCCGATTCTCACAATAACTCAGAAAACCACACAAGAATAGGGAGTGCTTTCAAAAATAGTTTCCGTCAGATGTTGAACTCTGGTGTGTATCACCCAAAACATAATGATGTATCCCCTTTCCAAGAATTGCATGTCATAGGTTTGCCACCACTAACATAGGCTTTTACTCATAAGAGATCATTTACTAGGTCACTTCAAAATCTAGAATGAAGTGAAAAGCAACTATCAAATGAAATATGTGTTGATGAAATTCAAAGTACAACATCATGTTTTGACTTTTTTTACATAAATGAATAGTTCTAACTGCCCAGCAGACACCTATTTCTGAGTATGTTCCCTTAGCCTGGTAAAGATGTATATTTATGCATTTATAGAAGTTGTTGAAAATAATGCAAACTAAAGAGTGATCAAGTATCAGTAACAATATAGATGGCAACCATATCAAAGACATACCCAGTTTTTCTGGTTTCACAGGAACAAGAAATATCACTAAGGAATACCCATGTAAGTAAATTAAGACATGCTACTCAATTGATATATGTCATTATTCCCTGTTCATTGCTTACCTGATTCTCCTCATGAGAAACCCTCATTTGTTCTTTCAAAACAGACATTCTGGCTGCTTCCTCTTTGCGCAAGACTCTTTCTTTTTTAAGCTCTGGACTCCAGAAGGTCTTGATGCTATTCATGGAAGAGCCAAGCTTGCTATCCTTGATGTCTAGCTCTTTCCTTAGAAGGTCATTTTCCCTTTGTAACTCCTTCAGTTGAGCCTGTAAATCTAGCATGGTGCTGTCTCTTACTTGCCTCAGCATGGAAGGAATTTGATGATGGTGATGATGTGAGGAAGTGGTCAACCCTCCATGCTGATCAGTATAAGAAAGGAGATCTGAATGGGAGAGGCCAACAGAAGCAATATTAGGGCTGCTTCCCATCGCTGTAACTCGTCCACCGTATACAGCTCGATTTGTAGCCCTTCCAAGAGTCATTGTGCCCTTTGGGAAAGTAGTAGATGCCACACCTTCATGGTCACTCAGATACATTGGTCCAGATGTTGCATAGGCAGCATTAAGTGACTGAATGTTCTCCATTGATAAAGTTTTACCTGTCCCTCCACCTCCTCCACTACTTGTTCGCCGATGGCCCAGGCGAGGCGATCTTGGCAAGCGTGGAGATCTGGCAGGGCTGCCTTCCAGGTTACTGATTGTTCTTGCACTTCCGTACATTTTGATTTTACTGTGGGGTACTACTTAACAAGAAACTATTCTTCTCTTAAGTAGGATGCCTAGCATTAATTTTCAGTTGAAAATGTTGGCAAACAGCTTTGCAGCACTCTTCCAGAAGGCAACACATTCGTTGAAATCAATTTTCCAGGTTCAAGATCTGAAAATAAAACAACAGTGTTATTGTTGTGCGAGTAACAATATAGCAGCAACACCTGGGAGAACTAATTTATGTCATATATCAGATTATATAAATTGCAAATCCCACTCACTGAACTTGGTAATAATTTTTTTTAAGTCTTCATATTTATATATTTTTCAATTAGTATCCAAAGGTTAGAAAAGAGGAAATGCTAAAAATACCATATTACAAATCATGTTAAAAACTGATGAAATGTATTGCTAGAAATTCTCCAGGTTGTGTAATTAATCCTGAGTTTCAAAAATAAGTTGAGCATTTAGTAAATAATGCTTAATTAAAGAAGGTAAGCTACCATTGTACCAAAGAATATTTTTTTTTTATTATTTATAGCTTTGCTTCATTCATATGTTATGAAATCCATATGGTCACTGAATACGCAGAACTAATAGTCACATGGCCAGAAACATGATGGGTAATTTCCTACTCCCAAAGCAGCAATCATAAAGATTAGACTCTATTTATTTATTTCTGTTTTTTATTTAAAGCATTTATATTGGCACCCATCTTTCAGACAACTCTGGGCAGCTCCCAATCCAAGATTAGAAGACCTTTAAAATCATTTTAAGAACTAAAAAAGTGCTACCAGTTAAAACAAAATATTAAAATAACAAGATCCTGGTGCCAATCTGTGCTGTGTGGCACAGTCTGTGTGGCATCATCTGATCTTCTCCCAATGCTTGATGAGAAAGCGGGGTCTTTAAAGCCTTACAGAAAGTTAAAAGTGTGGAGATATGCCAAACTTCAGGGGGAAGTGTGTTCCATAGGAAAAGCGCTGCCACAGAAAAGGCAATTAGTATTACAGCACTGGCAATAGCACTTAACTTAAATACAGCTTCACAGTGCTTTACAGCCTTCTCTAAGCAGTTTACAGAGTCAGCATATTGCCTCCAACAATCTGGTTTCTCATTTTAATGACGTAGGAAAGATGGAAAACTGAGTCAACCTTGAGCCTGGTGCGATTCGAACTGCCAGATTGCAGGCAGCCAATAGGCAGCAGAAGTAACTTGCAGGACTGCATCCTAACCACTGTACCACCTCTTGATAAAGTACTATGTTTGTCTTAAAATATGTAAATGCGCTCCTCCTTATAAAAATATAACAGATGAAAAAATTATCAGACATCATGAAGAGGTAAATAACTCATTTTAAATTGTTTTAAGTTGTCTTAATTTAATGCTTTCTAACACTACCTTTCGTCTATTTCAGATTTTCCAAAACCTTATCTAAGGTTCCAAATACAGTAAAATAAATGGAGAAAGGTATTAAGATTACTGTTCATTCTTTAGTTTTAAAAAAATGCATTGTTTTCCCAAGCATCTCTTTATAAAAAAAAAAAAAAAACCCAATTCGAGTACTACCTGATAACTCCAGTACTACCTAATTGGTTGTTTCGCTCCAATCAGAAATTACTTGAAAAAATCCCCATATGTTTACTGAAATAACATACCAACCTCCCTCTTTCCAAAAGAACCTCTCATCAGTGGCGGATTGCAGGCGGTGTACGGGTGTACCGGAGCCTGCCCGGAGCACCGGGTATCGTTCCCATATTGTGCTCCAGAGGGCCCACCCACCCGCCTGAGTTCCTTACCTGTCCTTTAAGCCTTTGGCACTTCCGCACACACGCATGGCACATACGGCGCCTGTGCGATGCTCCACCAAGAATCTGGAGCATCCCAGAAGCTTGTGGAAGCATTGCAGGCAAGTAAGCCACATGCGCGCACTGCACGCGTCCATGTGGGTGATGCCGGGGTTGTTCCAACTGTACCGGTTGGAACGGAATCCGGAACTCACCACTGCCTCTCATTATTTGTGATTTATGGATCTCTGTTGGCTACTAAATACTTATATTATGGTGAGCACAGAACACTGTTAAACCAACAAATTTCATTTACAT